AAATACATTTTCTTCGTCAGGCGAAATTGATAATACCCGTTGGCTGCAGATTAGTAGATTTGTTAATCCCAGCCTGTCTATGACAGCTCAAAAGCTATCCCTAAATCTCTGTGCACATTTTTTTACAAATCATTTGCCTCTCCATTTCCCCCCGTGCTCTGCAAAATACGCCAGGAGCTGTCTTATTCTCCATCCCGTCAAGTCCGACATGTAAAAAGTACGCGCGTGAAATTAAAAAACTTTCCTTTTTCTCTCTGTCGACAGTCGTCCCCGCGTGCCCTCGTCATCAAAAATAAACCATTTACGTCGTACAAGTTCTTTTGATAAAAAAAGGAGGAAGAGGAGGAGTAGTATCAAGTCCAATTACCCAAGCTTGGCAGTAAGGAAACGCGAGTTCTCTCTCTCTCTCTCTCTCTCTCTCTCTCGTACAACAACCCCCGGCGGCAAGTTCCTGCTCCTTTGGTTTTTGCTAGCGAACCCAAAGCTCCTGCCGTCCCTCTTCCAAACTCCGTGTCTCTGTGACTTCGGTGTTCTACTCTTATGCCAGAGAGAACTCGTTGCTAAACTGCATTTCTGGCTTGACTCGGTACTGAGTGGATTGTCCTGTTTTATATCGATCTTTGCTGTTATTCGCTTATCGCTTGATTTTTGTCTTCAACCAATTTCGGAGACTTGAATCGGTGACTCAAGGCTTTCAACATTGATTTCAATTCCCAAGTTAGTAAATACAAACATAACATTGTATGAAATATAGTGGCTTTAGGCCTCGAGTTACGAATAATCCATTCCAATAGCAATCGCATTAACGGCACCATCTCGTCGCGGATCAGTCCAATCACTTTCCCTCTCGAAATCTCTCAGACTTCGGCGAAGAAAAAAAAACTAGAAGTCGACGAAGAGGAGGAAAGAGATGAAAAAGAAAAACGAACGAGGGCAAGACTCTCCCCAAGCTCCCAAGCGGAAGTACGATCAAACGACTAATCAAAAGAGAAGTCGTTAATCTGTAGAGGCTTGACGCGGCGATTTCAATTTTCGTGAAGACGGAGTGCTGCGTTGATCGCGCGCGTCAGAGTGAGTAGGAGGGGAATGAGAAGTTGCGATGCCCGGAGCGCCGAAAAACTTGGCCGTCTGCGCGGACGCTTTCGCTTCAAGAATCGTGGGCTCAACGCAAGAGAACGAACGGACGCCCGGCCAGCGTCGCCTAATCGGGAGGGACACTTGCGAAACTCGTTCGGGAACTTTTGCGCCAAGCTCGTCGTCGTCGTCTATCCACTCTCGGCCCGGAGTGAAAGAGAGAAAAGAAAGAGAGGCGGCGCCAAGGAGAAATGGGGCAAAGACCAATAGAGAAAGTCAAAAAGCACGAGAATACCAGAGAGAGAGAGAGAGAGAGAGAGAGAGACCATTCGTAAAGGAGAGGCGAAACTGAAGAGTCTGTTAAGAGCGAAGATAAGCGGAGATAAGTAGGAATTGCGAGCGACGCGCGTATGCGCGCCGACAGTTTTCTGCACTCTGTCATCGCGAATGTGTACCTGACGGGTATCGATTTGTCAAATAGCCCTCGAGCGATATTTTTTTTTAATTTTAACCTTACACTCGCTTTTTGAAAAACTGCGGGATGAACTTTCGTGTATTTTACGTTATATTCTCTGCCTCTTTTTTTTCTTTGAAACTACTTTACTGCGTACTAAAAGAAAAGAAAAGAGAGAAGACATTGTTCCGAGAGCTTTCTCGAGAGAACGTCTAAAAAGGCCAAGCGTACAAAGCAAAGGACATCTCTTTAGAGTTGGAGTTTAGTTTAGCAAATGTTAACTTTTAATTTTGCAATTCAGTCCTTGGATTGAAGTTTCCAGCTAGCGTTCGTTAGATTAACATCCTTGATTAAATTAATTAAAAATACTCTGCTGTGCTGAAATCATAATTGTTGAGTTTTTACAAAATGGAGACACGAATAAACGATAAACATTTTGGTTTTCATTTGTAGGCGAGATGAGAATAACTTTGCCCGCAGAATTCATCAAAGCGGAAGGTCTCGAGAAAGGAAAATAGAATCTTTGGGGAGTGGCATTAAAGTGCCGAAGCTAACAACGACTAAGCAATTTCGAGACGCTCAGCTCAGTATCAATATCTGAAAAAGCATCCTTCCAAAGGAGGCGAGGGAGGGAAGCCGGCCTTGCAATTTTGTAGCGCGCGGGTGGCAAACTACTCGCATTTATAAGTCACGACGAGACAAAGGCCATGGCAAGAGAAGAAACGAAGACGAATGACGTTTGAACTTTTCGAGGCCAAGTGGAAAGGGAGGATTTCCGGGAGCCCGCCTGCTCGCGCGTTCTTTGATGCGAGTTTTCTCTGGCCCACTTACCTGCGCAAAAGTAAAAGTCGGATTACACGGCCAGGCGCTTCGCACACTGTCGACCGAAAAATTGCACCTGTCCGCGCGAGAAGGAGAATTGAATTTGCTCTCTCCTGAGAGTAAAAGCAATTGACGCTAGCAAGTGAAAGTTTTGCGTGTTTGATGTGTCGCGATTGTTTGCCAAGAATCAAAGCGCTGCCGCCGAGAGACGGAGAGATGGCTTATGAAGCGACGGCTGAGAGCTGCGATTTTCCACGGGCCTCGTTCAAATAGACCCTCTGACGGATCGACAAGCATTTATGTGCACGATGGCTCTATCTCTCGAATGTTTTCGTAACAGGAGATGCATAATGCGGATCTCAGCTTAATACCTTCGTCCGTTTCTTTTTCTTCGTCAACGCTGATCCAAAACGTCGTACTTGTAAATAGATCACTTTTTACCCCTCGTCAAAGTAGTTACGTTTCTGAAAGCTTTGAACACGCGAGCGAGAGTAGACGGAGTAACGAACACTTTGTGAAATAATCAAATTAGCAGCGACACCCAGTGAGGCAGAAAGCCACGGGCATTATTTTAGCCTTCTCTAATGATATTATAATCCGAGGCTTTTCGAAATTTCCAGCGTTAACGCGGTTATTGAGTTTGACACGTATGACGATTTGCTTATCTACGAATATGAGTTCATACGCGCACACATGCAATAGTCTTTCTAAAGTTCATATATATGCTTCCATTAGATTAATTAAGTTGATTGTTCCAATACATGCTACCGCACCTTTTTCACGAATACCACTCAAAGTATCGCCTGTTCGCGTACATCCAATCGAAATATACGAGTATATGTGTGTGTATGTGTGTGTGTGTGTGTGTGTATTAAAAAAGTGTATTTACACTGACGGAAAAAGCTTTTATTGATTTTTCTAAACATTCACTCAAACATTGGATTCCGTTTGTAAGTGTAAAAACACAAAGTTTCAGCGTCCAATTGTACGAATCGGGCGAAATGACACAAGAATTCTCATTTCGCCAAAGAGGCGAAACAATGATTGAAAATGTCGATTAATAACCTGCATAATGGCATCGGCGGCGAAAGAGGCGCGCGCAAGCCGTACGAACGACTAATCCAGATCCGCAGCGCGGCACAGGTGGGGAGAGGGGCTAAGTCGGGCGTGAAAGCTGAATTGTTGCGCCATGGAAGCCATGCTGGAATCGATACAATGCGAGGCGGAGACACAACTGGTGCATCCATTGCAGCCGAGCCCCTTTTGTTGATTCATGGTTTCGTCGATATAATCCACCACAGTTCCGCTTATTCCAAAGAGCCCGACTGTCGTGGCCCACGGCGAACGTGGCGCGGGATCGCCTCATTAGACGGTTCGCCGATAGTAGCTTCGACACAAGGCAAAAGCGTTCACGCCGCAGCGCCACGCTGGACCCCTCGCTCCCCGTCTTTATCCGATTGCCAGCGCTCGCCTATCAATTTGCGCAGGATATCTCTCTGTGAGCTTTTGTTTTCGTTGCTGATTTCGCGCATCGAATTGCGAACGACGCGTTGACGTTCTTAATCGTCCGTGAATTACTCCACTCGTCTCAGTGTCAAGTGTTTTTCGCAGTCCCGATGCTGCGACCGTCATCGTGCGTCTACCAAGTTTTATACAGTCACTTCGAGTGCGCTGTTAAGTTACGCGCATTGAAACGTCCCGCTCGGGATATTCTGTACTGATTGAAATTCTACTTCTATTACGTTCGAATAATCAATAATATACTTTCATTTCGTACACCGATAGAAGGGATAAAATAAGGTACGAAAACAACATTAATTTGTTCGCTAGACAAGCATCAGAAACGAGCCTTCGCGTGTCAGCTGTCACGGAAACGTTGAATAATTAATAAAATAAAAAGAGACTCTTGCTATACGTCCATCTCTAATAATATCCAAATGACACATGATGGCGCGCCACTGGCGTAATAACGTTAATGATATAGAAGAGCGAGCTGCGTAGGTATGTGCCTCTGAAAGATTCTATGACTTCCTACACACTATGACGCGACGACAGTGGCGCGTGCCACAGATGGTCCCGATAGCAGAGAGGAGACACGCGTGCGTGTCGTTAAACTGCCTCGAGAGAGAGGGGTTGGTTGTTTTTTTCGCGTGCCTGTGACGGGAAGGTTTGAGTGTGTGCCGAGGGATGGAGTAAAGTGCGTAATGCCATTAGTGGTAATGGCTGCGAGGACCAAAGTAACACGTTGTTGGGGCGCTTTTTCACTTTGTTTGCCGAACGGATTCCCTCCTTTACCTCTCTTCGCGGGAACGGATCATTACTTTTTATTCGATTGGAGTTCCAAACGACTACATTTTTGCAGCGTGCACTGCGTCTCGTACGAAATGCCGACCGGAATTCGCGCACACTTCCACGAAAACATTTTTAGCGCGGGCAAGCTGAAAATTTAAAACCACGCGTAATAACTTCGCCGTAAAAGCGAAGCTGGCAATATTCTAAAAAGCAGTTCGTTGAGCCTTGGTAATAAAGCCTCTGGTCTCATATTTGCTTCGCCGAGAGAGAGAGAGAGAGAGAGAGAGCGTATGTTTACACGCGGTAAATTACGGCTTTCAGCTTGAGGCGGACTTTGGAAGATATGAATGTCACTCACCGTGCTGGCATCGATCGCCTCCACGACCCAAGGGACACTGACACCTTTGAGTCGCGCTGCTGCCGCTACTTCTTCGCTTGCGCCGTCTTGACTCAACGATCACGTCGTTCGAATCGTCTCGAGACGTCGGATCTTGATCTACGTAACAGCTGCCTGCGCCACAGTCCAGACTGCAGCTTGATTCTTGGTTGGACGTCGGCTCCGTTGACATCACCGATTCTTGCTGACGTGGTGGCTGCTGCTCTTGACGCTGAACCGGGCTTGAGTTCTGACAACATTCGCTCAATTTTATTTTTTCCGAATATGGTTTGCATACTTATATTACTAACAAATTTTCCGTAAATTCAGAGAAAACCGAAAATTTTCAACTCATCTACTTCAACTTTCTCAAAGTCTACGTTAATTATTTTCATGCCCAAGATGCCATTGATAATGAACAATAAATGGCATTGTGTCGGATAAAAGTTTTTAATTCTTTTGTAAGTATATGGTAATTGAATAAATTAATAAGTAGGCACATATAGTCAATGAAAACTCTTAAGTTTTTGATCCTATTCAAAAGTTTATCCTATTTACAGTTCTAAATGTGTTGTGCGACATGGAGTTTCGAACAAAACAAAAATTACTTGGGAGCTTGATCCGGTTTTAAAAGCTTTAGTTTTAGGAGGACGTAGTATACTTTCATTGTCTTCTACATTTCCAAGTAGAGTGCTGCCTTGATTGCGCAAGTTGGACGGTATTTCTTTTTTTATATTAATTCACTTATTTTAACTCGAATTTTCTCTAGTTAGGTAATATGAAGATGCTGATATAGACATTTCATTTGGTTGAAGTCAAATTAGATTTATGATTGGAAATATCTGCAGGTACAGTATTTTTAAAGGTATAGCTGCGACGCTTACGTTAATACGGATTTCAGTGTGAGCTTCATTTATAAATAAATCAAGATTCGAACGTTGTGAATATATGTTTCTATAATAAAACTTTCTTAAGTTTCATACTTTTCAAGCTTTTCTCAGCTTTCCAAAACTAATTTTACTATGAGATATAAAAAAAATCTCGGATAAAAATGAAAATCCACAATCCCAAGCGAGACGTGATGTAGCAACATACCTGTGGCATAGACGATGGCTTGGGATCATCAATGTCATCAAATTCATCGTCAAGCTCGTCGTCGTCGTTGTCGGCGTTGTTGTCGTCGTCGTCGGGTATCTCGTTGACCTCGTCATTCTCGTCGGCGATTCTCGACTGGTTTGCGGTAGCATTGCTCCTGGGCGTATCCAGGTGTATCGTAAAGGAAGCGCCACGCATGTAGAGTATGTCCTCGTTGCCGTCATCGCCATCCTCGTCGACAACGTCCAGCTGCTGCTCGGCTTTCGGCGTTATTCGCGCGCTTGCGTTATTTATGACCACCTCCACCGCCGGACCCATGCTCTCGCTCGACGATGCCGACGTCGTGTTCAGCTCTGAAAATTAAAAAATTTTCGACGCTTGAACATCGTTATCGAGGCAAAGTCTTTGCTCGCGCGAGGCGATCTTCATAGAAGACGTCGACTCGGCTAATTTCGACGTTCGTTGATTGGAGAGCAATATCGGCGTTCGCCCCGATTGCTCGGACGCGTCAAGGCGCAGCAATCACGGCCAATGAGCGAGGCTGCGGCGAAACCGATTTTCAATATACGCGCGCGCGAACAAAAAGCCATGGCGCCGTAGAGGGAGGAACATTTTGTCGGCGCGTGACGCGCGAGCCACTCCGAACGCTGGCCTCGGCAAACTCGGCGCGCGCACAATGAGTGACAGATCCCTTTTGTGATAGCTCACTCGACGACTCGTCCACGATATGGAAGATGATTTTTTTTTCGACGCCCTCATTGGAAATTTCTTTTTTCCCTCCTATTTTTTGCCTCTCTCTCTCTCTCTCTCCCTCTATCTCTCTCTGTCTCTATCGCGTTCGTGGATGAAAGTGAAGAGGAAAAACAGGCCCTTTGTCGCAAAGCACGACTACCAGAGCCAGAACTTTTGTCGCTCGAGAGGTGACTCAATGATTATTCGAGAGCTTTGCTTGGGTTGTATATTACGTGGGCATGCGATTGACACGGGAGCTTCGTCGTTGTCGTGGCGATGAATTCACGGGTTATCTGACACAAAAGGCACTTGGTTCCAGCATTTTTGAAAGTCAGACGGCAAAGATAAAAGAAATAGGATTTTAACGCACGGATTTCTCGTTCTCGCTTATTTTTAACCACAAGTATACTAGAATCCCATTTTCATTCAAAGAGTTTGGAATTAATTTGTATAGTTATGCAATAATTTGAATAATTATTTATATTGCCATGTTTACTGAATAATTTCAGTTATCTTCAGAGTGTAAGTTCTAAAAAGCGACGAAGTAAAGGCTTACGCTCAGTTGACAAGTACTGCAGCGCTTTTGATGAATACGCAGTTTAATTTTTGACAAGCATTTTCGGAATTTTACATTTGAATGAATTTTACAAATACAGCCATCCACTGCAACCGATACCACGGTGAAAATAGTTATTTTGCTGAAAGCATTTTCGCGTGTAAATTCGTAATGCCTTTGTTTGACGAATTGTTAAAAACTATTGTAATATCCGTAATACTTTGTAAAGCAGCCTTTTGAATCTTTTTATCGCAGCAAATGATGCTTTCCGTATAAACTACAGCGATAATTGAATGTTGAAACAAAAGAGTACAGTTGATAAGACTTTTCTCGCATTTATAAATATTGGGGACCGGAGGGAGGGCTTGAATGTTGAAATAAGCCGAATAATGGCACGTGCATCATTAATCGCAACCTTGCTTGGAAAGTCAAGATCTCCGATTACGATTACTATTATCAAGTCACCTCTTGTTATTCACCATAATCTACAACACAAAAATGATCGTAAATCGAATTAAAAATAACACGAATCTAGATTGCAGAACGTTTTACCGAGCAAACGGAGAATGGGATCCGTCAATGAATGTTTCTTATTGCACAGTTTTTAAACGATAATTTTCTATTCGATCAGATGGCTTATCGATTTAGAACAGTATAAATAAAGAAAGATTTTAATTCAAAGAGAGTCTCGTTGCTTCACGAAGAAACCATCCGTTTTCCACGCGTCCAAAAGCAATCAACAAGCCCTTCATATCTCCAGACGTATTATCCGCGAACTCTCGTGGAAATTTTCCAACCCTCGCAGCGACAGAAAGAGAGAGAGAGAGAGAGAGAGAGAGAGAGAGAGAGAGGAGTGACATTTTTTTTCATTCTAGCGAATATATACGCGGCACGAGAGAAACCGCGACGCCGGAATAATCTCGACCCTATCTGTAAACGCACGTGTAAGCGCGTGAATAGGCCGCGGTGAAATTGCATCGGACGCGCGAGACCGACGAAATTGCGTGTTTTTTCTTTCCACGTTCACGCAAGCGCGCATCTTTTAATCCTCTGGCGTAGGTCGCGAATATTGGAAAAGGACTTGAAAATTGATCTCTTTCACGAGTTGATTTTTAATTATATTCTTGGTCGGTAGAAAGAGATTTAGTATAAGCTGGTTGGGCTTATTTTTTGTTTTTTGAAAATTGAATGATTTTATGAGCTAACTGAAAAGCTCTTGAACGCGTGATCGAATTTTCTAAATGAACAATGCGAAGTTTATAAAGTTATTACTATATCACGCTGAAGTGTTCTCGATGTGTTTGACGGTGTGGCTACGGGAGCTTTTTCTGGTTTCGTATTTCAACTCGAAATTTCATATCGCAAAGGTGTTTCGCTTCAGAAATTGCATTTAAAGTTGATAAATAAATCCGTTTACGGAGAATCCAACAAAGCCACTTTCACGCGGAAGTAGACAAAAGAACTGTCATTCTCCGAACTAGCTCGGTAAATTTTTTTCGTAGCAATAACGAGAAAATAATAAACAGCGACAACAAACGGACCTGCAGCGGCCTTAGTTGAAGCTGACAATTTTCCAACTTTATTACTCGCGCCGCGCCACCATCTTCCTGCATAATAATCCATGAGAGAGAACTGTTGGCCGAACCAATTATAAATGCAAGCAAAGACAAAGAAAAGTCCGAATCCGGAAAGCTCGCCGCCAGAGAGAGAGAGAGAGAGAGAGAGAGAGAGAGAACAGACTTTTCCACCATTGAATTCTTCGAAACAGACTTAGGTCAGCCCTTGTTAGTCGCTAGCCACACCTAATGAATTTAGGCTATGAATCGAGTAATTAACGATTCCGAGAGCAGCGCCAGCAAACGAACACGTCCGCTACATTAATTCTCCGGTAGACATTGCGAATTCGAGAAAAGAAGTTCGATTCTTTTAGAAAGAGGAGAAACATAATTATCCGTTACAAAGGAGCGTGTGGAAAAAATAAGAGAGAGAGAGAGTGGGAAAAGTTGAGAATGTATGTAGGAGGTCGGCTGGAGGAAAACTTGAGCGATAAATTCCGTAGGCGCGCTGAGCTCGGATTTACCACGACGCGATGCGCGCTAAAATTAGAAAAGGGAACGTAGTGCGAAATTTCGCGGAAAAATTACTGTGTGGCCAAGCTTTTTCCATCTCCTTTTCACTTTCGAAAAAAAAAAAAATCAGTTATTTTTTCGGGGGAGGTCTGCAGCGTGGGCAAGCGTGGAGAGCAATTAAGGGCTCGAGCGCCGCTGAAAGAGTGCTTGTGGCTTTGCTTTTGTAGACGCGCGGCATTACGTATACACGTACGAGGACCGCCTCCACCCTCCCTTTTTTTTTAATTGAACTCGCGTCTGGCTCCGCTCTTTTCGACGATATATACTTTTGCAGGATTGCTGCATTGTACGCACGCCGGCGATTTGCTTTGACGAATGTAATTCAGGAAATATTGGGTAATTTACGGTCCTTTAATGGAAGCACACTCGAACGGTTGATAATCGTCATTAATAATGAAATCCTTCCAGAGCGAATTATAAAGTTGAAAGTAGCTTGCGTGGACGAGCCAAGAGAAAAGTTGTATCAATCTAACATCAGGCTGATGCTATCGGATTCGCAGGCTTCAATTAAGTTCCCCAAGAAACTTCGTTTATTAAAAGGAAAGAGCATTGATCGGCGTAACAGACTCTTATTGAAGCTCTAAGAAGGAGGTATCCGAGCGAGATCGATCATTTTCAATAGTTCGTTTAAACTTGGCAACTTCGTTTGGAATCTAGGTTCAAATTACTTATTTGACACCAACTGATCGCTCTACATTACACAACAATAACGTCAGAATTGATACAAAGCAGACTGCAAGATCTTTTACTACGTTTATAAACGCGTATCGAAGTACATGGGCAATATATATGTGCAACATGTCGAAGTATATATCACGAGCGAGCTACAATAACAAAATCCAGCTTAATCAAATGCAAAGTCACGAAGCAAGAAATATTTGAGGAGAACCGTAAGCGCGTAAGCGATTGGCCACCATGAAATCCCTGCTGCGAAAGGTGTACAAATAACGATCTTGAAAAAACTCGAGTGCTTGACGAAATTGAGAAAAACAGTCGGCCGGCTGCGAAAACATGCATTTTTAATCCCGGGAAAGTACGCGACAAGGAAACGTATAGCCAAGTTTACGAAACGCAGCAGCGCTGCGGCGCGAGAATGAGTCAGAGAACGAGGAAAGGAGATAAACGACGAGAATAAGCTATATGTATATGCAAATCGCACACAAGAGAGACAGTCGCGATATCCACTTCGGTACTTCGTAGCAATCGATACGTAATTGTGCGAGCGCATATAAGGCGGCGGGGATTCCGTGTACACTGCGTGCGCTTGTATGTACGTTAAGACTGCCACTGTGCAGCTTACATTGTAGGCTCTATTGTGAGCGCTCGCGGTCTTCGACCTCAACGCGCGCTTGCTCAGCATCAGCGATGAACGAGTGATCCCCCGAGTGCGAAGCCCGACCAGTACTTCCCCGACTGCCTCTTTGATTCCGATGCATTCACTAAGTTTGCCTCTTGCAGGGCTATATAAAGTCTGCTGAGAGTCGAATATGTCACAGTTTCACCTCAGCTGCTTCCTTCGAAGCATCTTAACTCTAGACACAGTCCCAGTCTTTAGACACTATAATCAGGTATAGAACATTTCTTCCTTATCAAATTTTCACTTTTCTTCACATTAATCAACATAACTAAATATAGTGTATACTAAATTCTATCGTTTAAAAGTATTTCCAGATTTTTCAAGATCGAAAATGAAAACAATCCTATTATTGTGTGCCTTGGTGGCAACAGTCCTTGCAAATCCCGGTCCGCAGAATCGTGGTTCTATTAGTGCTACAGTCAACAAACCTATGAGTGGACCAGAAAGACGTCCATCATATAACATCAACTATCAACATAATATCTGGAAGGGAAAGAACGGTCAGATCTCAGCTGGTGGTGGTGCTCAGAAGTTTCCAGGTCAAAAATGGCAACCTCATGTTGGAGTGCAGGGGACCTGGAGGTTTAAACGTGAAGCTGTACCACAAGGTACCATCAGCGCTACAGTCAACAAACCTTTGAGTGGACCGGAAAGACGTCCAACTTACAACATCGACTACCAGCACAATATTTGGCAGAACAAGAACGGTCAAATTAGTGCCGGCGGTGGTGCCCAAAAATTGCCTGGCCAGAGATGGGAACCCCAAGTAGGAATTCAAGGCACCTACCGCTTCCCTGGCTAGAATAAATACTCGACTATTTATCGATGTTATTTCAAGAGAAAGATGTAATATTTTTAAAATAATGAGAAGAATAAATACTATTTATCAAAAAATTTTAGCCTCAAATGACGTTTAGTACCGCTAAAATAAAGAAGAACTCAACCACTACTAGTGCGATTTCCAATTTCGTGTCTTTCGCTGACGTATTGAGACTATGAATAATTTTAGAATGTCTTCGTATTTCTGTTATTCTACGTTCACAATTATCGAAGCGAGAATTCGGTATTGATATTGATCGGCTTAACAACACGAACTGTCAAGAATTTTACATAAACCATTCACTAGTTGTCCGACAGAAGGTACTTATCTCGATTTTAGGGTGCAATGACACGTTGGCTGGTCGCCTGGGGCTGTTGCGTTGCCGTTACCTTTAAACCGTGACGAGAGATGATGAATCTCGCTATCTCAACGTCGACGTTGATCTTTGTCAGGAGTAAACTAGCTGTTGATTGGATTTCGTGACGACTCGGCGTTCCTCAAGAAGACAGTTTTACAGCACACGTAGTTGCTGAGAAGTGAAGCTGGAGGAGCAGCGAAGACAGGATAATGTTGTTCATTTGGTGGACCTCAGCCGAGAGAGCTGAAGCTTGTTTGGAAAACGCCAAATTTAATGCCGGCGACTGGCCGATCCTATGCACCAATTAATTTCGAAATTTGCGAATCCGTTTGTAGATTCACGCATACCAACGTAGCATCAAAAGCGCGTATAAGTGGCGCGAATTTAAAATGCTAACTTTGCAACGCTAAAAAGTTGTTTTTGGTAATCCACTTTTGTGTATTGACTCTCTCTCTCTCTCTCTCCTCTTTCTTTTACCGACCTTCAAAGTCAAAACGTGACTCGAATATTTTCCTTTCGTAACTAACTATCCATCATCGTGTGACGGCAATACTTTACATAAAGCCGCACGTCCTAGACAAAAAAAAATTACACTGACAAACGCGCAGCTTTGAAAGTCACGAAATCTACGTCGCACCCGCGAGTAAGGTCTACTATTGCGACTGAATATATTGCAATTCTCAATCTGCATATGTGAATGAAGCTCGTAAAGTCTGTGTAGACTTGTACAATAGAGGTAAAAGCTCCAAAATAAGAAACACCTGTATCAGTATTTTAATATCGATGGGCTTTACCGATCATTAAGGGAGGCAGAAGGACTTGAATGGATGTATATGAGCGAATACCTGTAACTAAATAGAGCGAGAGAGAGTGTGTTCAGCATGAATCATACATGACTACTGGCAAGTGAGCCGAGTGCAGGAGAGTAAATCTCTATTCACGAAGCAATGTTAAGATATTACAGAAATCTACCTCTTAGATCTCGTTATTCATACTTATTTTGGCACATCTTGTAAATATCTGATCCAGTCTCCCTTTGAAATCACTTAAGGAAGGTACTGGGATGGATATTTACAAAAAGTAGAGTATGCAAAGCAAAAGCTTTTGCGGGCGCGAGTAGGTACAAACAGCTTACTCGCGATGCCCACACTATACTTAGCGCGAAAAATGAAAATTGCCGCTACTTACTGAAAGTTTTAGGGCTTGGGCCGTTCGACCATTAACAGGACGAGAGCGCCAAAGGAGTAAAGGCATCGAATTGAGAAGAAAGCAGCGTGCATTTTCGTGCAAACGAGTTGTTTAATTTTATAATAATGTTAGCGCTCCAGAGATTATTCTTACAATAACTGATGATTTATGGTGGTCTGTCACTGCGAAAGATTAGTTTTGACATTACGTTTATGATTTCACATTTTTTTTTGTCGCTGTAATTGGATAAACGTACGTTGCACTCGAATATTTATGAATTACCTGTTTAGATACATTTGATTATTGTACACGTCAATGTAATAAAAGTAAAGATGTTTGAGCAAGAAAGTATTTCGAATAAAATTATGGAATCGAGTAATGTAAAAAATTCATTTTTCATGGAAAGCAACTGACGAAGATTTGTTCATACATTCGAAGGAAATAAAACATTTACATGTCGACTTTACGTGAAGAAACTTAATGCTTCATATGTCATTGCGCATATAAACTTATTTTTCAAGGAATGTTCCGTAAATCATGAAAATATAAAACCATTTATGCGACAAAACGTCTTACGTATTCGAGATACATATTAACGTAGTATACATTTTCATGTAGTATATGAATAATAATTAATTTCTTCATCTTCGGTTTCACTGCGTGCGTTTGCTTTGCATTAACGATGAACGAGGGATTCACTTATTTGATTGACGCTCGATTTTTAATTCCCCTGATTCTCTTCTCGATTTCAATAACATATTTAACTCCAGTATAAAAGTCCGTTTATTAAATTGTTTCGTCAACAGTATCTTCACTCTAGTTTCAGTTTTAGCTTCTAGTCGTAGTAACTATTTTAATTTAGTTAACCATTGTATATTTAAACGTACTTTAATAACGTTATAATAATATTTTAACAGTGAGAATGAAAATAATTTTGCTATTGTCCGCTTTTGCGGAAAGAATCGTAACAATGGCTCGTTTTGAACGCTTTACACCGCCTGTATTTATTATAAAAACTTTATCTTTTTAACGAATTGAATTATAATATTATAAAACCAACATACTTATTTTATAGAATCGAGCAACCATTCCACCACAAGATCGCTATCGCTTTCGACGTGCAGCTAATCCCTATTCCCGAATAAAGGTTCCATCACCGCCACGGTTAACCAGTAAGCGGTCCAGAGCCCGACTTTCCGTATTGGCTATGAGCACAATATTTGGCAAGGGAAAAGTAGAGAGATCTCGATTTGAGCTGGTGCCTATCAAGAGCCTCAAGATTGGAGATGGAAACAGGAAATAGGAGCACGAGGAAAGTGGAGATTCAGGAGGGAAACTGATCCACAACATCGCGGCTCTATTAGCGCTAGCGTGAACAAACCTTTCAGTGAGTCGGAAAGACGCCCGACTTACAATATCGACTACCAGCACAATATTTGTCAAAGCAAAATCGAACGGATTAGTGCTAGCGCTGGTGCCCAGAAACTGCCTGGTCAGAGGTGGGAATCCTAAATAGGAATTCAAGGCACCTATCGAATCCCTGGCTAAAAGAAATATTAAAGTATTCGTCACTGCTACAATTGAATTATTTAGTATTCATTAAGGAAGTGACGATAAATTTATTTTCGGAAATTAATTCTTGTTTATCGATTTCAAGAAAATTTGATTTGCAAATAACAATACAGTTGAATTAAAATGTAATAGTAACATTTTTTTTCGACAACTTTAAGAATATTAAAAGTCTATTTGAATAAATAATAGATCGTGAATCTAACGTAAAAAGTTAAAACAGAATATATCTAATAATTCATTATATATCGATTAAAAATATTATTAGGGAGCCAATTATTTTCTTACTTCTATTTCGCCTTTCAAAATAGTATTTCCGGTCAGGTTTAGAATCTTGACAGCAAATTTAAAACGAAACACTTCTACAAGGATTAAACATATTCTTTAAAATACATTGAATAAAATAAGCTATATACTGTATTTGTTATATTTTCAAAAAAAAACTACGAACAAAATATGGTTCGAAGAACGCTGTTGTTTGAAAATGGAGATTCTACGTAGAAATGAATCCACCTGCAAACAATCCCCTTCGAATTAGTACATTCAAATCTATCATAACAGAAAAACAAAAGAAGCTTGAGCGCATTAATTCCGATCCGATGGATCGCGAAGCGCGTAGCTGGCACTTTCGATATCCCCCACGAGAAAAGAGAGAGAGAGAGAGAGAGAGAAAGAGTTTCGCAAAAAATGCTGGGTGAGCGTTTTCTTTCGGTACTCCAACCTCTCTTTTGCTCTCTCTTTTATTTTGTTATTTTTTTGGTAAACTGGTGTGATGAACGGACGTCGTATGCAACAGAAATGAAACACGTATACACGTATAATAATATTTATTTTTTTCGCTCGGTTCTTTTTGATATCCTAATTTTTTTCTTTTCTTTTGTGGAAAAAATGATGTACTGTTGAATGTCAGCTATATACTTCAACCACAACTCTAATTTGAAGCTTGTTCTTGTTTTGACCTTGTCAATATTTGTAATCTGAAATATCTTTCGTTAGAGTGCTGAGGAGAGAAAAGTAAGTGGCTAGGGTATAAATTTTTGAACCACTGGATCAAATTTTCGTCGTTAAACTTCAAGAACATCAGAGCGAACTAAAGCACAAACTTCCGCGACTTACCGGATGAAAACTCTTGCTACTAGGATTTATTTTCATGTTGTGCAACAGCACAAGATGTTAGAGACGCTTGCTGGACTGTCTTGAAGTTCATTGATATTTGGTAGATGTTAGAGTACGTAATAATTTCGTTTAAAAAGCGTTTAAGATTTTGTGGCATTGAAAAAAAATTCATATCTTTTGGCTAATTAAACGTAAACGACCAAATTTTCAAAATGTTAAGCGTACGTCAAAAATTTGAACTGGAATTACAAATTGAACTATTTTCGAATACAGCCCATATAACCAGATTACTTGTATAAGTAGAAAAAGAAAATACGTATCAGGAATAGCGGCTTGCCACTCAAAGTTTAAGCCCATTAGAGTATTGCGAGCGTCAGTAACCTATTTTAAAGCAAATAAATAGTGCAATTCATGATCAAGAGGCGGAAGTAACTAAGTCTCTGGAATTCGCAAGCGTCTGTATAAATACTTGATAGACGTAAGAAAGAAGTATTTCGGGCGACCTTCCGCGCAGTAAGAAAAATGTTCTTTTGAAAACATTCGAAAGAAAGTACGGAACGTTTCATCGCGCACGCGAGTACAAATTGTCAAAAACACAACAATGAACGGACGTCAAAGTACAAATAGCTCGGAGCAACCAGAATTTCGGGGGGAAAAGAAGCGCAGCTTCGCGAACTTTTTCGACAAGTCCGCCGGCTCTGAGGCTCTGAAAGCCGAGTCGTCGCTTCCCATGCAGAGACGTATCAGTGCTCGCAAACATACAAATCCTTTATGCAGCGAGTACACGTTCGCGTGACGTCGCGCAAAATATTGCGCGCGCACTATACCCGTTTGCAAACGTAAAAGCCACAAAGTGTATGTTGAGTGCGTGTCGTTGGTGTATTTTTCGAACGAGAGAGAGAGAGAGCGCGAGAGAAGGACCGCATTAAACTTGAAATCCAGAGGCAGAAACTGCCTCCTCTTCTCGATATGCGTTGCTAACACGCTAATGAAGCCCCATTGTCACGGCTGCGCGATAGCGGCATTCTTTGTACATAGTCGCGTGTGTGCGCGCGAGAGAGCGAGAGGGAATGAGCGCGATAACGTGCCGACGTACGATAGAGAGGGAGAAGACGAGCTTTTAAAAGCACACACACGCGCGCGCTCTGCATACGCCGCGCCGTTGAAGCTTGTTACAACGTTGTCGGATGGAGTTTGCTCGCTATCTAGATGTGCTAGCCAGCTTTTTTTTTTTCGAATGAGAGCCGAGTTCCTCGCACCGCGTCATATTCCGACGACAGAAGTATATATACAGGCTCTTCTACCGTCAACACTTTTGAACGTAATAATGTTTGGAAAAGTATTTTAAAATATACTCTGTCTGCGGTTTTTTGTTAATGTGATAAAACTATACTGTAAAGTATAGTTGTGTAGAATAAAGCAACCGTGAATAATAATTGAAGATCCATATTATGGGTGTTGATCGAACGTCCAAATTTCGTTTATCAATGTTGAAAAAACGTTACATTTTTGAAAGTAAATAGCAGTTGCTATTTAATGTAATGTTAACGTTATATACACAGTTTCAAACCTGAGTATCAATACTTCAAAAGCACCAAGTACGGTCGCTTTACACGTTCGAGGGCTCATTCGATCTCTCTCTTTTAGGATTCCACAAAGCATTCGGTTTTTCGTTGTATGTAGCAGTCGAAAATGCATTTTACCGCGAGCGCCAATTAAAGCTGAAAAAAACTCATTGGAAGCAGGCAATAACATATAAGTTTGAGAAAAGGGCACCGGAAAAAAAGAAGATGAAAAAATGACGAGGCTTAAAAGCGTCGTGATGACGACACAGCGCTTGGGATGGCAGGCAAACTTTATTGAAAACGCACGCGCGCACATCCGCGCACCCAGAGCCTGATCTCCTTTACTCTGGCGGATAACACTTCGCGGCTAAAAGCTCGTCATTGTTTGAACTTTATATCGCGGCCAGCCCTTGTACATTCTCATCGAATCAGAAACAATCGCGCTCCCACGACGAAAGGCGCTCGTCTCGCGCGGGCGAACAATGCGGGGCGCGTCACAAAGCCGCTCATTTACCCGAGGGAGCCGGGGCCGCGCGAGCTCGAGATGTTTTGACATAGACCCGGGCTCCTCTATCCGCGTCGCGGGGCAAGACCGGCGACCGCGCGCGCCGAGTGCATTTTACGCCTCGACCTATATTTCCCGCCAAGCCGCGCGCATATCGCAGGATTATATCCCGTATTGGCCGCGAGGCGCTCGCGAGCTTCATTAGAGCGCAAATAACGCCTCGTTCCGCGGTCTACGCCCTGAGCCACACCTCCGTTTCTGCCTTTGGCGCCCGTCCTTTCTCCCCGTCCATCATTCGGTAATTGCTATTGTGATTAGCTTCGTTAATCAGTCGCGCGCGGCCTCCGCTGCCTTCTGCTCGACATCGCGTAATTACTGACCTTTTTAACGCCCGCTGCCTTCGCCGAGAGAAGGCTGCATTTTATTCGTCGTTCTCTTTTACTATTATTTTTATTTGCGCGCGCGAGCGTATCTCGCGATCGTAGCGTTTACACGCGGTTGTTTCATTTGCAGTGAAAAGTTGATTAATACTCGGCCAATCGCCGCTGCCTTCATTTTTTCTCCCTTACGACGTTCTCATTTTAATGCTTGTTTTTCAACGCTTTTAATAAAAGCTTTCGAGCGCTGCTGCAATATTCATTTGTTCGATGCGAATATCAGAGCTTATTTGATAAATCAATACTCTCGAACAAGTCTTGTACTACCAATAAAGTTCGCACTACTCACTTGCCTAAAGCTCCCGGCATCAAATACGTCGTCAAAAAAGATGTGCTTTGCGCGAAGAGCGATTTTATCTCATCGTCCAGCAGAACTTTGAAAATTCTAGTGTGCTCATTTTCGAATCCCTCTCTCGTTGCAAAAATATTACAATGAGAAAAGCGTTTCGGAAGGTTGCCACGAGAAACGAGAGCTGGCGCGCTGCACGAATGTAACTTCGGGATGGCAGATCCTCAATCTCTTTTCACGGATACTCAGCCATTCTTCACCAAGTTTGATAAACGCATTATACTCGTAAGCTCCTGCGGAGCAGGGCGCCTGCATTTCGAACGTCCCGCGGAATGCGACGAAATTGTCAAGTCGACTTTCCTACTTTTTCTCTTCAAGTTTTATCACGGAGTGAATGTCGCGTAATACTCACCGGTTATAGGCTACACGAATGCATTAGCCCGTATCAACTGGGTCATCTTAATGCTGGTTATTACGAAAATGAGCTTGCACAGCAATTTCGCAAACACATTAATGAATTAGAATTAGATAGTAATCAATGAACTGCATTGCAATATGCGAATTACAATAGAGAATGATTCGATGCTTGATTGAATGTTCGTTCAAATGATTATTCTCACGCGAATTGCATTCAAACATTCGAAATCTACTAAATGGAATAGCCGCTGATAATATAGTGCATTTAGAAGCTCATAGTAAATTATCTACTGATACAGCAACGTGTTAGGATTTCATTCTCGAGCGCATGTCCGCAACCTTTGTTCTTTTGACTTTGCTCCCACTTGCTAACCGCACGCTTGGTCTTACAGTAATCCGTAAAGTCATCAGCTGGAGCATAAAGAATGAAACTCCATTTGAAAATGAACTATGAAGCCCAAAGCAAAGAGAATGCGTGCTTTGTGCCAACAAAGAGAGCGTAGCGTAAAAAAAGAATGAAAGAGCAGCTGTCTAGAAGACAAACAGTGTCTTTAAGCGAAAACTTGGAATGAACTGTACGAATAACGGATTTTAAATGCATTTTCTTACTCCATCTGCAATGTGTCTATATAATTTTCGTCAAATACGTTATATAACGCACTGATACAGAACATTGGTGAAGTATATACATGTAATATTACAAATATTATTGTAACTAATTGCTCATTATTGTAATATAATTTGCTCATTATTCAATAGACAAATTTTAAATAATATTGGAAATAAAAAAAAATATTATAAATATTATGTGATCGCGAATGAGGGAAAATGCAGAGAACAAGTCTTATAGTTCCACGATCCGTTGATTCGTGCAAAAAAACTTCTGTCAATGATGGAAAGAATCAAATCCAAACCGGATCGACCTGTCACAAATATTCAGCCTCCAACAGATCAGAATGCAAAGTCAATATAATGTCTTTGTTGGCACAAGTGAACAATCTGCTTACAGCTAATGTATAAAGATTAATAATACGTATTATTATTTGAATTTAAACAGCTACAACTCGAAAAGCCGATGAATGCGAAATATCTATCACCTAAAAATTAATGATCGTGGAATTTCCGAATTGAGAAAACGTAAGAAAGCAATTTCGAATAACTTAAAACATTCCGGTGCTTCACATGTGCGTATACGTCGAACATCTTGAATGCACATCTCACGCGTTGAGATGAAAAAAAAAATTGAATCTCGATAAGCTAATCGCGCAAGAGAAATCATTGCGACGTAAACTTCCTTATAGTCCATCGATATACCATTGTTTTTCCTCGATCTCGTCGCGCGCACGTTTGCGCAGCATCAACAACGAACCGGTGATTCCCCGAGTGCAGTCCGACTTGTAGTTCCCCCGACTGCGATCGCTTTGAGATTACGGTGCATTTACTAAATTGGTTTGTTGGGTATATAAAGTCTGTTGAGAGTCAAATATGTCACAGTCGTAAGCCAACAATTTCATCCGAAGTTTCTAGTCTCAGCTCAAGCCACTAGTCAGAGAATATTCAGGTACATAGTGATCCTTAATTATTTTACTTATCAATATAACTTTATAAAAAGTGTATCATCAGAGTGATAGTTAAAATTGACACTGGACTATATTTTCTAATAATATTTTCTTAATTTTTAGGACTAAAAATGAATAAACTTCTACTATTATCGGCGCTAGCGACCACGATTATTGTGGCGTCGGCTCGTTTTACAATGGGCACACCACCTCCTTATATCGTAATAGCATTAGTATTATTTTGTTTTCAAAATGCGTATTATCTCATTGAAAGCATCAAGTTCTCTATCATTTTCAATATTTGATGATTTTGCTTGCAGAATCGCCCAACCATTCCACCGCAAGACCGCTATCGTTTTCGACGTGAAGCCAATCCCAACCCCCAGAATCGTGGTTCCATCTCCGCTACGGTCAATAAGCCCATGAGCGGCCCGGAAAGACGTCCAACTTACAACATCGACTATCAGCACAATATTTGGCAGAACAAGAACGGTCAAATTAGTGCCGGCGGCGGTGCCCAAAGACTGCCTGGTCATAGGTGGGAACCCACAATAGGAGTGCAGGGTACATGGAGATTTAAAAGGGAAGCCCATCCGGAAAAACACGGTTCTTTTAGCTCTAGCATGAACAAACCCTTGAGTGGACCGGAAAGACGTCCGACTTACAATATCGACTACCAACACAATATTTGGCAGAGCAAGAACGGTCAAATTAGTGCCGGCGGCGGTGCACAGAGACTGCCTGGCCGGAAGTGGGAACCTACAGTAGGAGTGCAGGGTACATGGAGATTCAAACGAGAAGCCAACCCTCAACATGGATCCATTAGTATTATGCAATCGAAGCCATTAGCAGGGCCAGAAAGGCGTCCGTCTTACAAGCTCGACTATCAACATAACATCTGGCAAGGGAAGAACGGACAGATTTCAGCTGGTGGCGGTGCCCAAAAATTGCCTGGCCAGAGATGGGAACCTCAAGTAGGAATTCAAGGCACTTACCGATTCCCCGGCTAAAACCAATAAACGTATTTTTATTATATAACACCGCGATTTGATTTTTTGTACTTTAGATGATAATTTTGTTTTTCAATATAATTTATTTTATAACGATTCTACATAATCAAATAAAACTATGAAAATTATATTTTTTTCAATTAATTCTGAAGAGATTCCAAGCTTGTACATTATTATATTTTCAAGTTGAAGTATCCATATAATTACCAATTTATTTTTCTTTAGATGCATATTAATAAATCACACATTTGCATATAGTAACTTATTATTAATAATAACGTCTTTTGATAAACAATTTTTATCAAATACATTGTTCATTTGTGAAACCGAACATATGCGGCAATTTCATCGTTCGTTCGGATAGCACTAGAGCTAGCTCTCGACTATATTAATGATGCGTATAGTCATATTTCAATCAAAACATCATATTTCACTATAAATTTTATCTGATAATAAAAAAAGCTGTCAACTTTCGTAAATTTACACTGCCTCTGAAAATAGCCGTAAAGTTCCATTAATTAAAGCAGGCGAATAATCAGCGAGGCGAGGAAGAGAAGGAGGAAGAGAGAGAGAGAGAGAGAGAGAGAGAGAGAGAGAGAGAGAGAGAGAGAGAGATGCAGGTCACACGAGCGCCATTAATCCAGGCGCACCTGTGCATGAAAAACGTGCGAGAAGCAAACTCGACTGCGATGCATATCTCACTCGTGATTTTAAAAAAGAAGGGAAAAGAAAGATAAAAAAAGTAGAAATGAAGAGCACTGCATCCATCGCGGTGGAAAAACTTCATCTTTAACGGTCGCGCACGTGCGTCAATGCGGCAGTGCTTTTCTCTGTGTCAGTCGAAAGATAGGCTGGGTGGGGGGTGTATCGCCGCGTGTCCTGTTTTACAATGTCGAAGAAAGGGAGGGAGAAGTGTCGCCCCCGGGATCTGTCTCTCTGCGGTAGTCTGCGCGCAATTCTTTGCCGACGGCGATGACGCGCGTATTCGCTCGCGACGACGCGCCACTCTCGGGAAATATCCAAATGCCGTCTCGTAGCCCTTCCCCTGTGCTCCTTCATCTCCTCGAAGATAATCGTCTTCCGAACGATGTGTACGTACACATGCCGTTGCATCACGCCTAACGCCGAATTCCGGATTGCCGTGCGCGCGGCGTTTCGATTTTCAAACATTGATTTAAGCCACACTCAGTTGGAATTTCGCGGCGAACTCGGCTGAGAAAACTGTTATTAAATTAACGCGCGAATAATTTCGTAAGTGAATCGTCGTCTGACTAAACTGCGATTTAATCTACTTACAGTGCGCTCGGCGCTCAGAGTCGTATTTTCAGCGGAATATCCTCGCGTACAATTTACTTTGTTCGGCATTATTTAAGACGAAATATCAGTAATGCTAATTCCACATTCTAGCGATTGGCTAAGCTAAGTGAGAACTTGACCGCTGCAAGAATGTATTTAGGTCAGGCAAACATATATACGTATACATATATAAACTCGCTTAACATGGGCTGCGTATGACGCGGCATCACAACAGTCGACAAGCAGTTATGAATTATTTCCTTTATATGACAATAAATGTTGGAGTTTATATCCCAGAGCGTTGGATAGGGAAGAAAGAAAGGAAAGAAGGTGGACGTAACGTGGAGCTCTCGTCGTAAAACGGGAGTGGAGCGTGCGTCTCGCGCGGGCTGTGCGGGGCAATCCTCGAGGAAATGAAAAGAGTCGAAAGCGAGCGTACAGGTGTATATAGTGCAGGTGTGTGTATGTATATATATACATAGACGAGAGCGAGGAAGGAAACGCTTACCAGCGCAGCTGTAGCCGTTCTTGTGCAGTATGTATCCGTCCCTGCAGTCGCACTCGTACATGCCGTCGTGTAACTCGTAGCACAGCTGCTCGCACGGCGAGCCATGCCCACATCTCCCTGCAAACGTGCAAGATACATTAATTTTCTTCACTCTCCAAGCCTTGGCTGTGCAGCTACGCGCGCGCTAGCGCGTATATATCACACCTCTTTCACACGCCGCGCGCGCTACGGCCATTGCGCCGATACTCCGCGGTCGAGGCTCTTTAATAAATCGGCTAATGTTTCACGTCTGACCGCGCGCAACAGTTGACCCCCCTGCCCCTGCAAAAAATTAAAGGAAAATAAAAAGCACAACGCTCGTTTATTTCGTCAAATTAATTTTCCGAGGATAATTGGATTTTACGTCGTAGTGCCGAAAATTCATTTTACTACCCCAATCACATCTTCTGCTTCTCTCTCGCGCGTCAGTTGATTTTTTAGAACGCAAGTCAAATTCATTCGTCTGTATTTAATCAAGCTGTAATCAAACGTGCAGTCAGTCACGTTTACATCGGTTCGCAATTCATATCCGCGTGCTCGCGTCGTTAAACCTCGTCGCGCATTCGAGTGAAAAAAGAAAGATTGATTGCTCAAAAAAGTGCTGTTGGAATAAGTGCCATCGTCACAAGAAAAGAAAAGAAAAGAAGGAAACTGGCGCGCGAAACTCTCAACCTCAAAGCATAAAAGCTCGACCCATTAAAACCATGGTCGTCGACATGTGGGGAAGGAGGGGCGAAAGGCGGAGAAGGGCGAAACTTTATTTCGGACGCCTCGAAGTCGGGAGCGACGACACTCGGCGTAAGTGGCGCGAGATGGCCTCGCTAATGGCTCATTCCGATTCGCCGTGGTAGCTAAGTGCAGCCGGTGAAAGAGACAGCAGCTCGGTGTAACAGTTGCGTTAACGATTTTGTCCTCGACGCGACGAGAGACGCCGGTCTCCTCGCGCGCCCCCTGAGCGCTCGCGAGAACGAGATTACCCTGTCTGCGAGTCTGATGACGAAAACTTGTCGCGCTTTCTTTTTCGACGACACCGACCGACGACTTGGTAATAAGGCACTTCATAAAACTTCATGCCGGCCTCATGCAAATTTGTCGCCATTATAGCTCTTTCCAAGCTCTATACCTATCCGTTCATTTTCATGGCACGCACATAGCTGCCGTTCTCCGAAAATTGGCGCATCAAAATGATCGATTAAATGCATGTACACGCCATAACACAGCTATACGTAGTTGTAGATTAAAAGTAGAAGGTAGATATATATAATCGCGCGTTGCACCAGCTCATCCCCCTCTCTCTCTCTCTCTCTTTCTCGCTCTCCTTTATCTATGATTAGATTCTCATGCATATGCATTATTCAACATAGCTCTATCGATTATATACACACACAGATATACTAGCTTTACGCTTCTCTGTATGTAGCTTAGTTTGTATAGTTTATGTACGCGTCGGAGGCGCTTCCCCCAAGTAAATTGCACGCTATATCGTTGCGTCATTTACCTACCTATCCAGTCAGAATATTTACGTAAACGCGCATACGTAAAGAAATACGTCGAGCGAGAAAGGATTCGCTCGATAAGTAGGCAACACGACAGCTCAATCGACAGTCACGGTCCGTAGGCGGCGAATGGATTATTTGACGCTAGGCGCCGACGGGGCCGTCGCGCGCGTTCACCCTCACATTTGCCAAGCTCTTCGCGCACGCGCCATTATTATAATTTTCGATGTAGACGCGCGGATCCTCGAACGTAGATGGCGTTCATTGCAGGCTATTCAATGAGGACGTCGAAGCTTGTTTCGACCGAACTAGCTGTGCATACGTTTTTACTCCCGGCCGAGTGTGTCCCGTTGAAGCTAGAAAAAAAAAAAACACGGTAGAACAGGGGACGGAGAACGGGTCAACGATCAAAATAAAAACAAAAAAGAGCGCACTTTAAAAGCGTACTTTATTGCACTGTCGCGCTTTTCACATCTTGATGTGTGCGACGGACGAAAAACAAAAAAAAAAGGAAAAAAAATAATACTTCGCGAAATTTCACAGATATAAATCTCTTTAATAGAGTCGTACATTCCCTGGTTGAAGAGTTAAAACAAAGAGTTTAGCAATTAAAACAAGTGACTGTCGCGAAAAGAAAAGTATTCTGTTTGCAAATTTCTTTGCTATATTTTTACCATAGTACTTTTTCATCTTGGCACAGAAATCGATTTATTAGTTTGCTCGTCGCGAATTATAATTAATAGAGAGTGTTCTAGACATGCTCGGGGGCGCAAAAGTCCACTTATCAAATATCTATCCCAAAATGAGAATGCATTTCCATGTTACAGCTCAGACCAAGAGAGAGATAGAGAGAGAAGTGGATGCGTAATATCGTGCTACGATATTAATATGCGGTCGCACCCTTAGTAGTTAAAATTCCGACGTTCGGAATGTGTGCATTTTTGCGTGCACTTTTTTATCTCGCGCTAAGAGGAAAAAGATATTCTGAAGGAAAAAATCAACGATGGACTTTGCACGAGAGTATCGTAAAACTATTCCGCCCGCGCGAATAAAAGCTGCGGCAAAATTGAACTGATACGCTCGTAATAAGCATTCACTTGCCCTTCTTTCGTTTCTCAGTTGTAACGGGTGATCTCAGAAAAAGCGCAATAAAACGTTATTAACCGAAGGAATTGCAGAAAGTAACATAGCTCTAATGCTAGCTACGTAAAACTTTACGAAAAAAAAAAAAAAAAAGAAAAAGCTCGGTAATTCTATGCAACGATAGTAGCGCTCGCGTGCGCAGAGGTACATCGCAGTAATAAAAACAACAGGGGAGCGTATATTCGCGTCTGTCGCTCCATAAAACAGCACCGAGGCAGCATACATTTTCATAAGCCGAGGAGGAGCGAGCGCGCGCATCTACGCGCCATTCGGTTTATCTGTTCACACGGCATTTGGCCAGGCGCGCGTGCAAGGCGTCATTTGGATAAAAGCAGAATGATTTCGCGCGCAAGAGAAACCGGAGCCCGGCACAGTGGATCCGGGTTAACGGGCCTGCAAGTGCCCTCGAAGTGCCGGGAGAGAAAGAAGCTGCGCGCAGGTGAGTCCCACGAGGCCGTCACTTGGGACCGAGTGTCTTTCCCTCTCGCTGCACGCAAACGGCTGACTTGGAAAAAGAGGCTTGAGGCTCTTGCGCTACGCGGGGAGGATGTTTAATAGCGTTGATTGAGAGAAAGCTACGACGGTGGCGGCGCGCCAGCGCACGCATGAGCGAGTTTGAAGATGAAATTACGCTACGCGAAATTGGACGCCAGCACTATGTATACTGCGGCGATAGTTTCGGCCTCCATTTCCTCCAGTTTCGTATTTCTCGTTTGATCCTATCTGCAAGGAAAATGCTATCATATTCTAGTCATGTTCTATTTTTTGCTGACCACACAATTTTCTACATAAAACACTTCGTAAAAAACCAAGTCAATATCGATAAAGCGGAATAACCTTACAGATTCTCCGTGAATATAATTTCCTAGCGAAATAAACTTTCATAAGTTTGAAAACTAAGTAAATTATATATATATTGCAAAAAAAGAAATGAGTTTATGAAGAAGCGTTGATTAATTTTAAGAAAAAAAACTAATTCGTGTGCATACAAAATTGTAGAAAGTTGATATTGCATAAATAATTCGTGTACGTGAATACTGGTGAATTTGCTGAAATTACTAGGATCCCAGTCTTTTGGGAAAATCGCAAAAGAGGGAAGCGCACTTTTGCTTTCGAATGAGTGGAAGTGTGTGCGGCGGCAGTGTTTAGAGGGCCGCGCACTCAAACAGAACGTAAAGAGCTAGTGAGTATTTCCATCTTATGTGTAATTTTATAATAAAGACTAGTTATTAACATCAGTTACGTGTACTCATTCTTGTTCAGTGCGTATACCTTTATTTTCCTACTAATGATTGAATTATGAATCACAATATACAGCATGTCAAGAAAAAATTTGTAAAATGCTGATTTTTAAATAAATATATCGAATAATTTCGGATCCATGGTTCTCACATGAAATTTCAATATTAGCTCGATTATATAACTGTACGATGCTCTAAATTCTGCAGTTTGGCGAAACATAAAATAGGTTCATGATTATTCATAGCAATAATGTATTTGAAGGAGAGAGAGAGAGAGAGAGAGAGAGAGAGAGAGAGAGAGAGAGAGCAAAGCTTGGTTATACAGCATAAATCCAAACGAGCCACGAGTAATTCGAGAGGAACCCATTCGGCGAACAAGCCCCTTTTGTGCTCTCCAAATGAAACCATCACCACTCTAGTAGCAATAGAGAGAGAGAGAGAGAGAGAGAGAGAACCATCGCACCACGTTGCCATTCGCAAATGGAAGTGTCGAAACGCTAAATAATTCTGGGGGAGGAGAAAACCTCCACTCGCGCCCAATTATCCCTTCAATGTAATTATTCCGCGACGCTACGAGAGAGAAAATTCAAGAACGTATATACGCCTCCTATCGTGGCCTCTGATCATTGAGAGAGATCCCGGAGAGTTTTATTAATTGGAAAAATCCATTGGCATTCTTGGACGACTATGTAGGCGCTTCATCGGGCAGCTTCAGCTGCTTTTAGACGACGGAGGCACGCAGGCGATGATGAATTTACGAGGTCTACCGCTGCCGCCGAGTTTATGAATTTATCGGCTACGTTGCTCTATCTATGTACGTCGGGCGCACGGCTAAACCACGCCTGCTCAGGCCTTCTAGGAATTTTAATTTCGATTGCACTTTTCAGGCCATAAATTGACGAGGGTCCTTCGTGTATTTTGCGACTTTTGTTATGGTCGCGGCTACGTTATTTTTACGTCGTGTGTATTGGATTAGTTTCTGCATAGTTGGAAATGTTTGACGTGAACTATGCATTTTTTTTCTTTTTTTTAGAATGTCATATAAAAGTTTTGAGTGGCATTCGAGTGAACAAGCTTTTTTCATGGAATGTTTTTAAAAAAGCCCTCGTGCAAGTTTTTTTATAAAAATTTTCATACAGTGCACGATCCTATCCAGAGAAAAATGATTACTGTTTTTCAGCGGAGCTTCGATGCATAT